TTAGAATCTATATGGAAAGTTTGTCCACGTAGTTCAGCACCAAGTCATGTGAGGAGTTGCATCTAAAGCAGTCTTGTCTGGTCCGTTGGAATAAGGAGGAGCCACAGAAGAAAAAGCACCTCAGCGATGATCAGTCCCTCATTAGGATCTGCTGCGCATCGACTTTTGCTACAAATCATCGGCTGTGGCCGTTTTCTCCTGTGCGGGACCAATTACATCACCTTGGACAAATTCAAGAGGACCCAGTGCGATTTGACCTGAGCATGAGAATTTATCCTTTCAGTGTGCGAGTGACACAGCCACCCTACTTTTGCCGTTAGCGAACAGAGATATTTATGAAAATGGATGGGGAATGAAAAATTCAATTGCTGCATCTCTCATCCACCCTACCACTCCCCCGTCTGTCAATTTCAGTACACGCTCCTACCCCCGACCCTCCGTAGGCCGATGTCAGACTTTGGAAATGGAGCGATTCGCTGCTAGCGATTCGCTAGCGTCCGCGGTCGCGTTGCGGTACCAGCCAATTGAGTGATTCACTGGCCGCGACGCGACCGCAGACGCTAGCGAATCGCTCGATTCGCAAAGTCTGACATTGGCCTCAGAAGTGCTCCTTCATACTTTCATACCATTCAATGGTCTATGGTGACGGTATGTAGTAGAATGAGCATCGCGTTGAGGATGTGGATGCCGCAAATTGACCTCCCCTCGCCTCCCATCTGGAAGAGTTCTCCGATACGAACCCCTTGGTCGAAGTCGGACGAGGTATGAGGTTATTGTACATCTATTCGTCTAAGTCTGCATAATCTTCCACTATCACGACTCCTCTCTGGAATCCTCGAAATACGGCTCCCCCTTTCCCCCCCCCACAAATCATAAGTACGACCCCATCAATAGGAAAATCCTGAAACCTGCGCGGAAATCCCTCTGGCCATATCACGCATTACCTGTGAGCATTACCATTTTTGCTTGCATCCATTTACCTCAAGCTTCTGTGACATTTTCGAAACCACTTTTTTGGCCTTATATGGAGATTTTACCATGCACCTAATCCGGCAATGTCTCAGTTTTCAAAAATTTCTCTCTGGAGTGCTTTTCTCGTCCAAGCCTCGAATCCTATAGTACAAATCGATTGCTCAATGCTTGATTTGATATCGACACAATAGCCGATGTTCCTTGCAGAAGAATGGCGAATGACCTGCACATTTCCACCGCCAGGTTTGTGCTTAATATTATCCATGGAACCGACTTTGCTGGCAGCATGCCACTCCAGTTTCTGGTCGAGAATCTAAACGCGAATAGCGGAAAAGCTTGTGATGTGCTAACACACACTGACAGAATGAAGCTGTTGTGGTGACGATCCTGAGAGGTTAGAGCTACCCTATTGTCAGACCATGATGGAACTTAACCTATATGTCTGAAGAAGAAGTCTGCATTACCTACCTGTACATTACCACCGGCTGGCTTGTGCTTGACGTTATCCAATGAGCCGACTTTTGACTGTGCATTCCAAACCAATTTTTGAGAGATCATCTGAAACAATGAATACTTTCGAAAACTTCCAAAGCGCTGCTCCACGACCGCACGCAGCATTGACCTGAGATTCGCACTTGTATTGCTTTTTACTGTTCTCTGTTGGATTTAAAGGAATCTTCCACGGAAAGACTGCTTATCCTTTCCTTGTGTACAGGTGTTGGGCATGGTCATTGAAGACCATATGCAAAGTTCAGAGCGAAAATGATGAAACCCCCAAGAGAAACAGCCCTTGGAAAGACCCATCTGTGGGACCGGATTGGACCAGTAGGCGGGACCGGAAGTGCTTCTGTGACGAAGTGCGTGGCAGGTGCGGATCCACGTGTCAGTTTATGGGAAGGGCCCAACATGAATCCAGTTCACGTTCACGCTTTTGACACGTTTGCACGTGTTGACTCCACGCCGCTAACAGTTGTGGAAGTTTTACAGCGGGAATTCAAAATTTTCATAGTCGAACTGGTTATCATAATTATTATCAAAACCATCGCCTATGTTCCGTTCTTTTTGCTATCTTCATGAAGCAAGGGGCCTAAGGTATCGTTTTTTTGTAGGAATGGAGGCGATGTTTTTTTCCGTGGAAGCGCGCGGAAGATTCCTTTCAGCAGCTGTGTTGCATATGTACTTCGTTTAACCAATGTGGTTACAGCGTTAAATTGTAACGTCCAATTTTTCTTTATGAGCCGTTAAGCTTTTAAAGTTTGGATAGCGATCAACTTTAAGTGAACACCGGGTTTCAATTTTATTTTGTCTTTGCGCATACGCAAAAACTTAATGAATTATTTGAATTTTTCAATTCTGAGGCTGTTCTGGCATTTGATTGCTTTTTTTCGCAAATATGCGAACTTTCCAGAATCCACTTTTTGCAAAGGTCGCGAAGAACGCAGAAGTTATGCGCTCATGGAAGAATCCAAACCTCTTACCTTCTTTTCCGGTACTGGTGGTACGTATTCGGACTTAGCGTCGATTTTCGGTTTCGCTTTTTCCTTGAAATCCAACTTTATGGTGGGTATCTTCACATTTCCACCACCTATGCAAAACATGATTATTGATTGGTGACGCTGAGGAAATGGCGAGATACCTTACCTGGGGTATGTGTAACGTTGTTAAGAGATCCGACTTTTGGTTGAACCTTGTAGGTCCTAGTCTCGGAAAT